TGGCAATGTACTTTGAAAAATTTGGAGTCGTTTTTAAGAAAATGGCGCTTAAGTGCTACAGTAAATTCACTTCCAACCAACTTCTCACTCAAACCGTAATTACAACAACGTAATAATAAACACAATCGTAAACTCCATCACCTCTTGTATAGTAATTTTCATCAACTCTCTAATACCATCTTTAATTTCAACCATTCAAAATTCAGTCACAGAATATTTAAGAAATAATCATGTCAGACCAAAACAGTAATAGTTTAGTTATCATGAATTGGAATGCAAACAGCATCCAAAATATAAAAAAAAAACGAATTTAATTATTGCTTGTATCATTACCAGATTGGCATAGCATGTGTTACTGTATCACACTTGTGTAATAGAAACAAACTCTACATCCTCAACTACAGCATCTTCAGAAATGATAGAAATGAAACAAAAGGAGGCGGCATATTTATCGCAATATCATCACACATCATTCATTACAAAATTGACATTCCACAAACACCCGGTATAGAAACAGTAGCAATATGCACAACACTAAATAGCCGAACAATTACTATAATAGCAGCTTTTAAATCTCCCTCAACAAAAATCTAAGGCGCAATTGTAATTAGCCTATTTAATTCGAAAGAAAACACATTATTACTCGTGGATCTCAATGCCAAGCCTATAAGCTGGGACTGCCTTTCCAACAATCAAGATGGTAAGATCCTTGCCCAAAGTATAACAAAAAATAACTCAAAAATCATCACAACAATAGAACCACATGATCGAACACGTAAACCACATGAACGTAAACCAGATACTTTGGGTACATGAACGTAAACCAGATATTTTAGGTATACATATAACAAACACAAACAAAATTTCACACCACCATAGTATCCAAGCTAAATTCAAATCACATTCCAGTACTGATCTCAGCACAAAAGCTAACCCCACAACATGCAACTGTTCCCCAATCAAACACATTAAAAATCAACTGGATATAATTCCAAGTAATACTAAGAAATAAAATCCCCCAATTTAAAACACTGAATAACCCCGCCGAAATTAATCAGGCTGTATCATACATCAATATGCTAACTCACTATACTATCCATGTAACCCAACTAAATAAATCACCAAATAACCATAGTAATAAATACAAAAAATTACCGCCTGATATATTAAATGTGATCTCGATAAAAAATAAAACAAAGAGACTATGGAATCAGGTAAGGACATCGAACTTAAAACCAGAACAAACAAAACAAAAGAGTAAAACAAAATTAATTCTATGTCATCTTAAACATTGCAATTATCGCTATCTGTTGCAAAAGTTTAAACAAAAAGTTTAGTGCAATTCTTGAGAAAATAGCTTTTGAGAGTTTCTGAAAATGAGGAATTTTGGGCTCATTTTCACAAAAAACTTCTGTGTTTTTGAGAAACTTTATCTGATATTATTTAAAGCATATGTACTTATAAATACAACAATGTGAACAAATTGCCGCCAATAAACATATTAATGACATGAGAAACAAGTTAAAATATTACATATTTGTAATTTTTTTAAAAAGAAAAAGCCTAGAGCAGTATATAGTTTATGTCATCTTATAGAGTCCCCACCAAATGTACTGTCCCTACCAAAAGTTTAAAGAAAAAAATTGGAGTCACATTAGAGAAAATCTTGTATTTGTAATTATTTAACAATTGCAAAAATTGCACACAATGTTGTGTGATAACTACTAAAATGTTCGAAAAAGTACATGATCTTCATGAAAGAACTCACTATGGAGAACAACATTTATTTGAAGGTGAAAACTCTATCTTCAATTTGTAGTTGTAAGAAAAGGATCTAATTTTCAAATTTTTGCAATATTCGAAAAGTCAGAGTTAATCGTGAAAATCAGACCTATGCCCCCTTTATAACTGTATTTTACTATATTTTTATAAGAAATTTAAGGAAAAATTTGGAGCCATTTTTGAAAACGTTCAGAGGCTTCATGTAAAGTACCTCAAAAAAATAATAAATGATTTTCAAAATCGCAGATCTTCGAATCACAGTCAGCATTTACTTATATTTTACCGGGTGAATATCAGTCATTGCAGAGATAATAATTTAACCCAATTATTCATTCAAAATCTTCGCCCAACTGTCCCTCCGCGCCCTCTCAGTTACATGCGGTATGTGCATTACGTATTGCATAATGATGGCTCTGTAAATGTTACTACATTCTCATCCACCCATTTAGAGGTGGGGAGAAGTCTTCTCTTCACAATGTAATTCCCAAATAATAATGTATATAACGTTTTGTTGAAATGGAATTGTTTCCGCGTTGAAGATTCATCCGTTGAAGACCAGATACCACCAATTTTATTGGTATATTAATATTTTCGACACAAATGCATACATTTATGTAAGGCAATGTTTTCCCCTAAAGTGAGATAAATTATAGTATTACATGTAATAATAATTACATTTATTATAGGTTGATACTAATCTGATAAACAAGTGTATTTTTGCACACATTTGCACATGGTATCGGGCAGTGGCGGCAAGGAATTCTTTTTGATGGTGCCAGTTAGTGATGCGACATAGATAATAAAACATCGATAAACAAGTATGGATATTTTTAAATATCGATGTTTTAAAGCTGGTTTAATAACAATATATAACGTTAGATTCGTAGGCAACAAAATTTAATTTTGCAGTGACTATGTTTATATTATAATGAATAATGAATTTACAATGAATATTAAACTGTGAAAAAACTAAAAAATCCCTCACGCCCACGAGAACGTCCCCTCTCCGTGCTCTCTATGGGACAGAATGTATACTATCCAGGTCGATTTGGGACCCGTCTCACTTTCAAGAGAAGCATTGAAACCAACACAGCGTTTTTTTATCCAATGTTAAATGAGCACAGGCAGATTCAATCCGTAGGTGGCTTAGCGGTTTATAAAGAGACCGACAGATAGTACTCCGCCCTGCTCGTTTGTATAGGGTATTGATGAAGCTTCGAAGTACTAAACGCTCGTTCAAATAAATTACTATAAAGAAAAATATTTTGAAAAATATTTTATACACACATTTTTTATGAAAATTGTCTTTTCAGTCTTTTTCATTGGTAGTGCCATGGCACACTGACACTACCCTGCTAGTCGCCACTGGTGTCTGGTGATATTAACTGTACCGACTGATCATTTATCCTTGACTCTTGGTTCCTCGAAGAGCCCCTGGAATTCTTTGTTAAAAGCACAACTATTTTGTGAACGGCCTTTTCAATAGATTAGCTTCAGCTACAGCAATCAAGTACTATTATTTTTCTCTTATATATTTTCTTTTTGTATTATATTACTTTACACTATCTTATAAGTGATATGTATATATGTATAAATAGAAAATTCCATAAATAAATAATTAAAAAATAAAAATACGGTATACTCCAAGGTAGTGTGATTGGGCCAGTAATATCTTTCATGTTACGGATGTTACGGAGAAAGTATTGAATTACGTATTGATATGAAATCACCTACACGCATTTGAAGAGTGGCACAGTAAGAGGAGAATCAAAATAAGTGCGAATAAATTAGCTCATATTATTTTTGTTGAATGTTTTAGTGAAGTTGAATTTCCAGATCGTTTCTGAACTTGTCTAGAAGACTACAGTCTTTTACTGCCCTTTGAAATCTCATTTCGGAAGCTTGTTTATTACTACATTTCTTTCTAATCAATTGATTACAAACTGTCTCCATTTTTACCCTCTGGAGGAAAGTCTTGTCCACCTAACTTAATCAGCAAACTAGTGGTGTTACAGAATGGCACAGACTTTCTCGTAGAAAAGTTTTCTAATTTTCTTGATTGTCTTGCCCCATCCTTTACGGTCTTCCATTGTTTACGGTCTTGCCCCATCCTCTTGCCTGTTGCCATCTACCACCAACCAAAATATATTTTTTTGAAATTTTCCTAATTTTTCGATTTCCTAAGGGTACATTCGAAATATTACTTTTAAAATATTAAAGAAGAGTAAAACCTCGTCCATATGGAATTTTTCGTTGAATCATTTGGAGCCATTTTTAAGAAAAAAGTCAATTAAGATCTCGTGTAAAAAGGAAATTTGAAAATTTTTCACAGGAATCTTTTTGGTTTTCGATAAACTTCATTTAAAGTAAGTGACCTTAGCAGTCGATGCGCCCGGAATCACTAACAACTAACCAACTAACCTTGAAAATTGCAAAAGTTCCACATTTTTTCAGCGCCTTCCTACAACTACAATATTGAAGATAGATATTTTGTCTTAATGAAATACTTTATTCAAAGATATTTCTTTCAGTAAGGTCATGTACAGTTTTGAGAAAAAATGATAGTTTCTGCGCAATTTCCTGTGAAATATAGGCAATTAAAAAGAATTTCGAACGGTCAAATGTTTTGTTTACTTTTTTCTCGAACAGAACAAAAGGACGGATATAAAAACAGCGCAGTCCCCATTTTCGTCGCTCTTTGTATTTTCGAAAATTGCTGAAAATTAACGTTGCGAAATTAGAATATTGATGATAAAATGTTTTTCATTAATAGAACATGTTCTAAAAGATCAGATCTATAAATAAGGGCCTGTACACCTTTTGAAAAAAAATAGCAGAAGTCGTGTCATTTTTGCTTCACATAAAGATAATTTCAAAAAGTATTTTCTCAAAAATGGCTCTAAGCTATTTCTTTATTTCTTTCTCGATTAAAGCAAGGTACACCTTCAAAAATTACCAACATTTTCTTTTAACTATTTGAATTTCTAAAAATTCCAACAATTAACATTCTAAACAACATTGTTGATATAGATTTTTTAGTTCAATTAAATTGATTATTAAAATAAAATATTTAAAAAAGGACATGTAGATTTTTTGAAATTATTACATTATTGAAAAATTAAGTATTTACAATCTTGCAGCTTCGCCTTTAGCAGCAACGCAAGGCAACCTCACTCATCCATCCATGTTTATAAACTATTGTGCGGAAGCGTCCTCACCTGGCGGTAGGTATCCTCGATGGTGGGGATGTAGGACTCGCGGAAGGTGCCTTTGACGAAACGCAGCACCAGCGAGCTCTTGCCCACGCCGCCGGCGCCGAACACGACCACGCGGTAGTCGTTGCTCTGCTCGGGCATCCTGACGCTGCAGCTGGCGGTCACCGCCACTGCAACAGCCGCCCCGGGCGCCTCCGTCAGCCCACCCGCTCGCGATCGGATGATCAGCTGGTCGCCGCGCCGGGGAGAAAGCGAGTGCTGTGTGGTTGTGTGTGGTAATTGTTTTGCTGCTCGGTTGATGCGCTAATCGTTTTCTGTACTAGTCTTGTACATCTTCACACCTCACCCGCCTTTTCGTGGCGGATGATCATTCGGACGTTAAGGCGTGAGCGGATACTGCGTGAGCTTTGTGTTACTGCAATTGAGTTGTGTTACCGTAATTTCGTTGAAAACCCGTATCCAATGCCAAAAGAGATTATTTTTTATCAATAAGGATGAATAAGCTGATTCAATGAATCCTGTAGCTAACCGGCTTGCCCAGTGATCACCCAGCAGTCGCCGCTACCGCGATCATCATTGTGGCAAACTTGAGCCTGAAATTGAATGTTACACTGAGTGAGAATATTACAATGAAGTTATCCATCGAAAACGAAAAATAAATAAATTCGACCTCAGGGCTCTCAGATGCCTGGATGTTCGGACTCACGTTGCGGGGAAGTAATAACATTGCGTGTAACCTAGGCTTCCAGGACACTTTGTCCACTATTATGAGGTCCACAGACATTTAGTTCACATCTTTTTGTCCATAAATAATTCGTACACTGCATATATTGTCCATTATTCATACCACAAGTATTGTCTCCATTTCCTTTGGTCCACATTTTTATCCTTGTTCTTTGAAGTCCACAGAAATGTATGTCCACAACTTCATTTCCATTCCTTCCTCTCTACTACATTGAAGAGATGTTTGATTATGTTTTAGAAATAAGCCACGACGATTTACAAGATCTTATGACGTACTTTGAAAAAATGTATCTAAGGGGACGATCTGCAAAAGAAAAGAGAGAGGAATGGCCGCCTCGGTTTCCTCTACAATTATGGAATGTACACGAGCAGGTGATAAATCGAGCAGAAAGAACAAATAATTTTGTGACGGGCTGACACTCGACATTTCAGAAGCTGATCGCGAAATAGCATGCAATAATATGGAAATTTTTACATTGTTTAAAAATATCAGAGGGATAATGAAATCCTCTTATTACAACTTGCTGGCGGTCACAGACAAATCAGATATCCCTTTAGAAAATCGTAGTTTAGAAAACAAAAATCAAATTGAAAATATTGTATACCGATATCAAAAATATGCCGAAAATAATAATGTAGTTTTAGCGCATCATTAGCTACAAAATGAAATTATATAATACACAGAGAGCGATGGAGAAGTATCAAATATTTAATTGTATAATATTGTAACTCAATAAAAGATGTATTTCTTTTACAATGGAACATAATTATTGTGGATTAAAAATTTATAAAATGGACACAATGGTAGTGCATGGACACAATCGACGTCAATGCTCAGTGGACTTTTCTTATAAGTGGACATAAAAAAGTGGACGAAATGTTTATGGACATTCCAAGTTTGTGGACTAAAATTCGAAGTGAACTAAAATGCGTAGTGGACGTAAATAATGTGGACAAACCTGGTTCCTGGACAATGCGTTCGGGAATCGTAGCCCAGCAGTGCAGCCAATAAATATTCAGGGGTAAGTTGACGCGCCCCTGGGCCTTGACTGAGCAGTTAATTTCAAACAGCAAGTGGAGAGGTAAGACATTCAATTAATCGCGATTAAAACATTGAAGGACCTATTTTAGATCATAATTTTAAATTGTTGCGCGTTCCTACAACTGTTTATTGACACATTTGTGTGCCATAATCATCAATTAATAGATTATTTCACAGATAACTTATTTAGCTACTCGGTCTCGTCTGCTATTTTCATGTGGCAGGTCTTGTGTTGGTCGAATAAAGATTCACCCTCAGCACGAATGCCCTTTTTTGTCGAGGTGCCAGGGCGATGGATGAATTGTATGTCAAACGAAATGGAGTTTCGACTGCTTATCACTCTGTGGTCGTGAGGGATATCATTTGTTTGGAGAATATACTGCGTTATTATCTCAAAGGAAATTTGTTTTCATATTTACTCTAAACTAATAATTTTTTGAAACAACTGTCGTCGTAAAAATTTGTATTGCGTTTGTTTGTGTGTAATTCTTTCAAATTATGTTTCAGAAACAAACTTTAGCATAAAGAACTACACAAAAGTAAGCTTAAATCCAAATGTAAAAGTGATTCTTCGCAAGTAGTTTGATTTAGTGATTTCACCGAGATTCATTGGCCATTTTTGTCATTGGTTTATTTCATTTCTTTTGCATTGATAATTGGGTATTAGTAACAGAAACATCTTCAGGGCCTCTAACTTACAAATTATGAATAATATATGATACATTCTTTTTATATTATGTCCTTCCGTTGACTGCTAGTCTTTAAAATTATAATAATGTCTTTGAAGCTTGACGAGATATAATAATATTTCGCCGGTTACAAATTTTAACCTGGTGTTTTGACTTTATTGGATTCCTTTCGAATTATCAGTTAGCAGAGCTTATAAATTCCGATAAAAACTTCAACACGATGAAATTCGCGACAATACTTCCAAAACAGCTGAGGTAGTGTAAAGCCATGCTATTGTCTATTATACTTCGTAGTATCCAACACAGACCATAACCGAATACAGAGAATAACGCCGTTGAACCGTAAGAGCAACAAAAATGATATCTGACTTTTTTATCAGGTCTTCACGGATTACTTTCCTACGTTTATAAAAAAATTCTAGTTAAAATTCTAATTCTAGTTTCATATTGTGTTTCTGTATATTTACACGAGTAATCTAGAATAATGTTTCAATGAAATACAATTTTGAAAATGTATCATATTTAGAAATGTGATAAATTGATGATAAAATGATTGGGAAAGAATATGATTCGCATACGCTTAAATGTTTTAATGTGATATCTTACGAAAAGCAGACATAAATTCAGAAAAATCTCCGTTTCACCTTTAAATCGTTAATGTCTACATTATCGCGATGTGAAATTTGATATTTTCCTCACATCATCTACAAGTAAAATAAAAAGTAATGACAATGAGTTGAAAATACAAAACATTTGATTCAGATATTTAAAGAAAACTAAATTACCATTTCAATTGCACACTAAAGTATTTCATTCATATTCAATTTGATAGTGTTGTTGGTTACCCAATTCCTGAGTACTAAATGGAACAAGTATGGCTGTTCAAAAGATGAAGATTTCTTGTGAGATTCCCGATACGTCCGTAAAAGTTTCAATTTTAAAAGCTGTAATAACGTATGGGTAAATACTGTAGAATACATGTCTTCATTTACACGCAACATGATTATATTATAATAAATACATTGTATTTCACGTAACCTAAAATTATTGTTAACTTATTTCAAAGCTGCAGTCAATTTTAATTTAAAACGTTGTTGCAAAACAAAATATTTTAATTTTATTTTTTGTCTTCAGGTTTCCTTAGTGCTCTTGAGAACAGTTCGTTTACGTTTAATGGCATTTAACAATTCAAAAATTCTAATAAGAGACTTTGGTGGTTTGAATCAATCACTTGTGCTCATTTTTTATTAACAATTGTTTCTTCCCAAGCTAACGTTTTTATCCTATATTTGCAGGCCCAAAAAAGATGGTCAACTGTAGAGTAATTTTGTTGTCGAACTATTTCGTGTGAACTGCGCTGCATTTAATGTTGTCACGATTGTTTGGTTGACGATATTAAAATTATGTGTGCATTTTTAACTTTGGGAATCATGTACAAAAAACTTAATTCTATTATTTAACTTATATTTTATAATGAAAATGAGCTAAGTCATTATTTACGGAATGAGTTTTCAAGAAAAATATTGTTACTTTAAAAATATATATTTGAAAAATAATTTCAAGATAAGGTGGATTTCATGTAAAAACGTTCTTGCAAACCGTTGCTAGATAAAAATAGGCATGCACATACAGGATTTTTTCTGACGACATTCAAAATAAAAACAACAATATGTTACTGAATATTCCTTATAAATGTGCCGACACTTAAATTTATTTTTCACAACAAAGTAGGACGCAAAGATTCAGCAAAAATCGCAAAAGAACATTAAATAGTTTGGTAGACGATCAACGTGGATAAAATTATATTACTGCGCTTTTTCTGTAAATATTTAATTATAAAGTTTAACCATAATTTTGTCATCAGTAAGTGGCTTGTTGAGGAGAAAAAAAGGATTTTTTGCTTACGTTCAGTTACGTTGAATTGTTAACTCGAATATCTAATGCACTCCACATATTTTGAATCTCATCGATTCTTGTAAAATTCTATCTTCTAAATTTGCGATGCACCACATCATAGTTATGCCAGATAGTAAAAACCTTTAAACATCAGCAAAATTCTTTCAAAATATTTTTTAAAGCACACGATCGGTTGAGGCTTAATTATTCTCAAGAAAAAATGCAACCGAGTCGTATGGACAGCTGTAACATTTAATTCGTATTTAACGTAACGATGATATTACAAAAACTTTAACATATTAACTGTCTTTTTGTATGAACATTTTTTTAACTTTTGCTGAGACATTCAATTTTGAATACATTTACTACGTTGCAGGAGGTGAAAGAGTCAAATCATGAAAATTGAAGGCGGGAGAAGCAATTGTCGGAAATCACGACTTTCAGAATTTCTAATGTTGCTTTTCTCTCATATTTATTGTATAGTGTATCTTTCTAGTTCACATGAATCTAGCTCTAATCTTGCGAATCGCTATCTTGAAATAAGATAAACACATTCTTATCAAAATGTATTTGGACAAATTGGGTACTTGTAAATTTATTAGAAATTGTTAGATTTCATGCTGTGAGTCAATTAAAGTTTCATCCTTCAGTACTTATATTTGAAACATTTTATAGATTTTGTGTTCTGTTGTGGATTAAATATTGACAAAATATCTGAAGTATCTAGTACATACAAGATGAATTTTGAATTTTAAGTCAAATATTTATTTTTTCTTTATCGGTACATTATTTTGGAGACTCTTGGTTGACATTATTTGTAAATAGTTATTTATGTATCTAGATGAAAATTGAATATTTTCGAAAAAGGTGTTTACCAACTGAAACGGAGCGTAGTGGAGCCAAAGTAGGTACGAGTAAATTACGCAGTCATTT